TAAATGAGTGCCAAACTCAAATCTTCCTCTTTGTTGTTGACCCACTTCATGGAACCCAGATGGTGATGCTACTGTAGTCATCTACCCTCAACATCACCCCTCCCTCCTGTCTGCTTAGTATATGCCTCACGCCAGGCTTAGGCTCTCATATACAGATCTGTCTATGCTTCCTGAAGACTTCCTTAGAGAGCTTCTCCAAGGAAATTTCTTTAGAAATAGCTCATCTACCATACTGATTCAGAAGTCCTAACTACTGTTTATTGTTCATATTCATTGCTTTATACTGTGCAACTCTAAGTAGCATTATAGGTGAAGTGGGAATCTTTTTTTTTAATGTCTTTTACTTTATTTTTTTATGTGGTACTGAGGATGGAACCCAGAGCCTCATGCATGTGAGGCAAGCGCTCAACCACTGAGCCACAACGCCAGCTCCTGAAGTGGGAATCTTTAACACAGTTGTTGTTACTGTTGTTTTAATAAAACCTTATCTTATTTTTTCACAGAATGGAAGATTTTGTTTGATATTTAGGAGATATGAAAGAGTCTAGTTAGTGGCAGGAGAATTTCCTATATTTAAAATACTTTTCAGATTTTTATATTTAAGGTCCTTTTTATATTTTTTGACATGTCTTCAGTAATGCAAAGTTAGTATAGAGGACTAATAATATGCTACTTATTAAGCACCTAATATTCATATTAGGTGGGTACTTAATCATGAATAATTATATTTAATTTAAAAGACACCTGAAATGTGCCATTTTTTACCCTCTCAACCCCTCTAATTATTTACTTTTCTCTCATTTCTGGCACAACAAATCTTGAATATTTTCTGCATTCATTGGCTTCATTTCCTCACTTTCCACTCATTCTTACACTCAGTACAATCTGGCTAATTTCTACCCTCTTGTGATGGTTGACGCATCATAAAGTGACCCCCAACAAGCTTTGCCCCCATATGACATTGAGTCTGGCTGGAGCCTGTGACTTGCTTCTAATTAAGAAAATATGGCAAAGTTGATGAAATTTTGCTCCCATTATTATGTTACATTGTATATGATCTTCTTTTGGCAGAATGAATCGATAGATTCTCTTGCTGACCTTGATGGAGCAAAGAGACATACTGTGAACTAGCTGTGGAGAATCCCTTGTTGGGGAACTGCTGTGGCCTGTAGGTTCAGGAAACCTCCCATAGTCAGTATTTTTAGAAACCTGAATCCTCGGTCATACAGCCATGGGGAAATAAAATCTTTCAATAACCTTAGAAACCTGAGAAGATACTTCCCTATTTGCACCTCTAGGTGAGAATGCCGTCTGGTTGGCACTTTGGTTGTAGCTCATGAGACCCCAGTGCAGAGGACTTGGTTAAACTTTGCATAGACTCCTGGCCATGGAAGTTGTGAGATGGTAAATGTGTATTGTTTCAAAGGCAGTAAGTTTGTGGCTTTTTTTTTTTTCCCGGCAGCGGGGAACTAATGCAGTTTTTGGTGCCCAGAAGTATAATGAGTGCTTCTGTAATAAATATCTAAAACTGTGGCAGCAGCTTTGAAACCAACCAATGGGGCAGAGACTAGAAGACTTTTAAGGGGCATGACTAGAAAGCTTTAATCACTTCAGGCAGACTATTGGTGGACATCCGGTCATTAAGATATGCTAGTAAGTTCTCATCAATGAATGAGGAACTAGTGAAAGAAAGATCTTTTTTTTTTTAATTTTTTTTTTATTGGTTGTTCACAACATTACAAAGCTCATGAAAGAAAGATCTTTTTAATGTAGCAAAAAATGTTTCCTGTAGTTATTTGGAAAACAGAACTAAATAGTCAGGATCCTAATATGTAGTTAAGATAATTTTCAAGTAAAATGTTGAAAGTGCTGAGTGTTGTCAGGTTTATTCTTGCTTCTTATAGTGAAGTGTGAGAGGAGAAAGATAAGTTAAGAACTGCTAAACAGAATAAACCAGGACTCTTACCAAATGATAATTCTCTACCTCTCCAGATGGCAAAAGATGACAAAAGCAAGATTGTCACTGTCAGTAAAGTGTTCTAACTAGTGAGAAGAACAAGGTATAACTGGACAATATTTTGCTCCTATTTCAGAAAGATTGTAAAGCCAGAATATTCAGTATAACACTGCTCCCTTTTGAGGATACACCATACAAATATCTTAACCAGAGGACCTCTAAAGGTTTCAGGATATTGTCCCTCATGCATCTCAGCCAGAGGCCAAAGTAGAGAAGGAATTTTCTTGCAAAAATTAGTGAATATGGCTTTTTTCTAATGGAGAATTGAATGAGTGCCTGTGAAATGCATTAAAGGTCTCCAAATTCTTAAGACAATTATTTCTGTAGAAACCAGTTTAGACCAAGAGAGAGAGAGAGAGAGAGAGAGAGAGTATGAAATGAAAGGTTGTCAGACCTCTAAAGCATTCTGACAGGAAGCAGATTAATAGAATAACTCAGCTGCAAACATGTTCAACCTTTTATGAAAAAGCAATAATGACCCAGAGGGCAAGACCAGGAACCTACAGGGCAGAATGAAGAGCCATAGAGAATAATTCTATGCCTTGAAACCTAATCAAGAGACTCTGGATGTCTGCTCAAAAAAGAGCTGCTATGGACCACTGAGGGCTTTTTAGCCTCCATTCCCCCTCCCCTCACCCCGGTTGAACTGGAATGCTGTGGATATTATCCTGTGCTTATCCCACCATTGCACATTGGGTGTTTCAGAGATAAATAGTTTGTGTCTTTTATTTCACAGGCCCTTAGCTGGAAAGGAATTGTGCCCCAGAAGTGGTACTTACGTGAATAATACTCAAAGTCTGCATCCAGACTTGGACATGATTTAAATAATGAGATTTCAGACTTTGATCTGATGGAGTAATGAGATGAGCCTTTTGGAGGCACTGGAATGGAATGTATTTTGCATGTGGCAGGGATACGGAGTCATTGGGGCCCAGAAAGCGGACTGTGACAGACTCACTCTGTAGTTAGTTGCCCTCAGTGAATCATGCCCTGTATAATTTTCTTCCATTTCTTGAGTGTTGACAGGATGTGTGACTTGCCTCTAACCAGTATGCAGGGCACAAATGTCATTCCCTGATTATGTTGCATTTTCTAAGGCTCCCTCTTTAACAGACTGGAAAGAGAGATTCTTAGACTGCTGTAGGGCTAGTCTGTAGGTTGTGACTGCTTCTGCAGAAGGTCATGTGGTGGTAAACTTCAGGTAGCCTCTAGGATCTGAGTGCGGCCAACTGCTAGCAAGAAGCCAGGACTCTGAGTCCTGGAGTATCAAGGAAATTAATTCTGCCAGTGGTGTATTGGAAGCTTGGAAGGTGATTCCCCTAGTAAGGTTTCCAGAGGAGAATGCAGCTCAGCTGACAACCATGATTGCAGCTTTGTGGAATCGTGAGTGGAGGACCCAGTGAGCCATTCTTGATCTCCTGACCTGTGGAAACTGGGAGATAATAAATGTGTTACTTTAATATGCGCAATTTGTGGTAATTTAAAGTAATATAAAATGATTGCAGTGCGCTTGCTATTTTCATTGGTGAGTTCCTTACTGCAAATTCAGTGGTCATTCCTCAGATTTGAAGTTGTTCAATTCTTCATTCTTTCAGGAATATCCCTTTATATTTGCTTTGACCTCCCCCAGCTCCTGTTGCTCTGGCAGGAAGCCCAGTATCATTGCCGATCCTATTCTACCTACCCAATGGTGGTGGTCTTTTGGTTCTATTTTTAAAATAGTCCCTCAAACCTGCTTCTTTTCTCTATTTTTATGGTCATTATCCTGGTTCAGAATATACGTTTAATTTTTTTTTCCCTTGAATGATAGTAACAGCATTGTACCCTTCAAAGCTGTTACCCACAGAAGCCATGGTACTGTTTTCAGAATATCAGTATGCCTTATCGGCCAACCCTCACTCCCCAGATCTCCCTGGTAAGACTTTATAGAGTACTGAGGGAGGGAAAGATGGGGGAAGCAGGAGGAAGTGAAGATGTGGTCATTTTAATTTAAATGGGATGGAAGGCTGGAAGAGATTCAAGTGTTTAGGGACCAAAGGAGACAGTGAAAGGGCAAAGGTTCAAAAAAAGAAGGAAAAAACAAAGTGTGCTCAGCCGGGAGCAGAGGAGATGGTGTTAAGAGTGAGTTCTAAAAAGGAGAAGAAATCGTTCAAAGACAGGAAAGAAGAGTGGGAATGGCTGAAGACATAGATACACTAAAAAGCAAAGACAAAGAAAATTGAGAAAGCAATCCAGTTTTCCGTGGTAAAGTCATGTGCTGAGAGTGAGGACAGAAGGATGGATGTTGAGGTGGGTTGTAAACGTGGAGTAGATGTTAAGGGGAACAGCAAAGACACTTAGCACATCCAAGTTAAATCTGACAACTTCTTTAGCAATTTAGTTCATTTAAAAAAAGGGAAAAGCAATTAGCATTTCTATTAGGAAAATTCTATTTCTTTCATTAATTGGTTTCAACTATTTTGACTAAACAATGAGTAATTTTTGATGGTGGTTTATTTTCTGCTGCTCAGAGAACCCTAGTAAGAGCACAGCATAACCAAATAAAAGTTGATTCAAAGTATATTAGATACTATCAACACTATTACTACCTAGTAGCTTCTCAATTATTTCACACAGGGAAATTGGTCATAAACTGGTCAATAAATGTAAGTCTGATTAAGACCATTAGAAAATAATTATTAGAATTTAAAACATAGTTTCAAAAATTCATGTGTGTGAGCCTAAATCCTGGTTTATAGGGTAGGAACTCAGGAGCTCGCCATGGAACTGAGTCTTCTTCTTGGGTAAGACCTGTGATCTTCATCAGATCCCCGTGAAGTGAGAACACAGCTTCCTTATCTGGGTTCTTTTTAACATTGAAGATTGTAATGTTAAATAAATATCAGAAAGAAACAGTCCCTTCATATATATATATATATATATATATATATATATATATATATATATATGTGTGTGTGTGTAATTTTTATTTTTATCATTCTAGGAAGCTCTGAGAATGCTTAAGAAGGCAATGGAAATCTGTTCTTGTTCTCTCAAAGGACAAAATGCTGCAGCTTTTTCATCAGAGTGTCTGTATAACTTGGGTCTTTGTTACATAGAAGAAAACAACTTCCAAATGGTATTTTGTGTACTTAGAAGCATAGATTATGTGATTTTAGAAACTGGTTGCTTGTATTCAGTTTTATTTCTGGAGGCTTATCTAGACAGTACAGGGAGTGACTGGACCAAAAGTTTAAAATGGTTGGCTTATTATATAGTCAGTCTGCACCCTGAAATTCTCATGAATTATTTTATATAATCAATACATTTTATTTGATGTTAGTTTTTGACCATTAATCTAAAGACCAATATGGTTTTCCACCAAAAATATCTAAATATAGGAAATTATTACAGCAAAGCAGTGTTATTTTATTATTAATATGACTGCTTATTAAACTCCAAATAGTTTATATTGAGAGCTTTAACATATTGTAGAATAAAAGAGAAATTATTAGAATACTCTGTAACTTATCTTATTGAGAACTGATTAATTCCAATCAGATTGAAACTAGTTATTAAGATGGCCAGGTTCATTGAAAACCAGTTAATTCAATTATTATGGATTTATCCAGCCTTTAACTACTTTACACACTTCAAAATGGTCACTGATATGAAGACTTTGTAAAATAATTGATATTATCTCATGGTTATTGTTGGATATACCACAACTTCATTTTTGCATACACATACACAATCACACAAATACACAATGCATCATTCCAATCCTTCCTTATATATACTGGATGGAGAGTATCTTAAATTTGCATATAAGAAAAAGAATTGTCCACCAAGTTGTTCATTAAATATAAGATTAATTATAATATTTTTTATACTTTTAGTCCTTTTGGACAACAGGGAAAACTTGGCTATGCTTTACAATATTGGGAAAAAATTTAAAGTTCTGTGTTCTGAGTTTTCATAATCATATATCTGCTATGATTCTCAGACTACCATGGATAATAAATGATGCTGGTTGCAATTTATTTGAAGGAATAAAATCCAAAAACTAGTGATAAAAATTATGCCTCTGAAAGCACTGTAATCTAACAGCATGGATTATGTAAACATTAACCTGGAAACAAGGGGATTTTTAAATATAATACTAAATCTAAGTTGTTTCCAAATATTGATTTGCTTGTCCCAAAATTTTCTGTGGGAGAATATATTTTAAATTACTAGAAAATTGAGTGAAACTTTTCAACAAAATTTACATATTGCAATTTGTTAACCTTCTAAACTAATACATTCTGTCGCTAAGTGGTTTGTGCTTCAACAATATGCCCGTCTAGGCTTTTGATTCTTTTACAAAAGCTGTGAAAGMAAATCCTGATTTTGCAGAAGCTTTTTATCAACGAGGGTTTTGTAAAGTAAAACTCCACAAGGAAAGCTCAGTTCTGGACTTCAATCGTGCAATTACGATCAATCCGAAACACTACCAGGTATTTAAATACATAATGATAATGATTTGGAAAATTTGTTAATTTTGGTAAAACCATTAAATCTTTTATATGCTTTTGCTATTAGTTAGCAACAATTGGTTACTTGTACGTACTTTTCCACAAATATATATCTGTATTTTATCTGTACATACTTTTCACAGTCCATATATCTATATTTCTTCTTGAACTAAATATTTTTTCCCAACAGAGATATTATGTTTATTCAAATGCTTTGTGAATTTGAATGTATGTAAATATGCTAATTTATTAATTTTGTGTTAATAATTTTAATTTACATACTGTTATTAATTTTATTTATTTATTATTTTGCTATCACATTTATTTCTGTCTTTTAATAGACTGTGGAGATAACATAAAATTTAATAGGTGCAGTGTGACTGGATCCTGATTTTAGAAGACGATGAAATTAAATTTGAATTGGCTAAATAATGGATACTTTTAGGGAATTACTAGAAATCTTCTTAGAGATATAATGGCAGTGTAGTTACTTAGGGCAATCTCTTTTTTCCATAGTAGATGCATACTGAAGGCCACAAGGTGAAAAATTTTGATGGCTACAACTTATTTTTCCATACTTAAGGAAAAAATAAAATAAATATGGCAAACGAAGTGCTAATAATTATTGAATCCAGGTGATAGATACATGGGTGTTCATTATACTATCATTTCAATTATTCTATATGTTTGAATTTTTTTCTAATAACAGAGTGGGGGAAAAGAGTATATCTTAATACTGTCTTTGGACATATAATTTTTATGATGGAATGATATTCCAACATCATTTATGTCTTTGGGTGGCATAAATTTGTTCATAGATTTTTGGTAGAACTGATGATTACACTAAAACCTCTATTTCTGCTTTCTCTTCTCTTTCTCTGAAAGGCATACTTAGGCCGAGTAGCCTACTATGGTTTAAAAGGCAGATTCTCCAAAGCAATTTTGAACTGTAATGAGGCAATCAGTATTTATCCTGAGAGTGTGCGCGCCTATGTCTGCAGAGGAGCTCTGAAATACTACAGCGGGGTAGGCCACCTCCTGCCTGGTTTACTGAAATTGTAGATACTCAGTAGAGGGACTCACTTCCCCTTTTTTTCCCTCTGTGATATGAGAATTGCTGTGGTATAAAGAGCAGAACTACATAGAATACTTTTTTCATCGTGCACTAAAGGGGATTTCAGTTCATGATTTTTCACAAAATAGTGATATTTATTTTTGATCTTTACATTTAAAGTAACATCATTATTATTTTATTTTTAAAGAAAGTAGTAACATTTTGTTATGGGGGAGAGGTTCCTCACCTCTTGTGTTCTAGGAAGAAAGATTTCCTTCAAGAGACAGAAGACATAGAGAGGAATCAGCAGGGTTTCCCACGTGGCAGGTTTTTTTTTTTTTTCTTTTCTTTTTTTTTTTTTAATTTGGTCTGGGAAATTCGTTCCTCAATTTTGAATTTCAGTAGTTACTGAGGTTTTCCATCATGGCTTAGTGTGCCTGCAACAATTTCCAAATTCATGTTGAAAAATTTCCCAGTTAGACTGCTCCCTTTTGATTGACAGGAAACTAGCTGTCTGTCTGCAAGAAGTTGGTCCCTGGGCATTGTGAAGCCCAGCAGGGTTCTACCCAGGAGCAGAGCCTGAATTTCTTCTCCCTACCACCTTTATTCATGTCTGTATGGCTACCTAGTCTAACATATTCATTGTAGGCAGTTTGGAAATAAAAGCAATAAAAAAGAAATTAAAAAATAAAAAGAAGGGAATAAAGGATTACTATCCTACCATCAAATTATAATTTTGAGAGCATTTTTCAAGTATTTGCAGTTAGTCTTTTATTTTCCTGAAAATATATGACATGGGTTTATGCTATTTATATAATTTGTGTTGTGTCCTGCTTTTTATACTTTATCTCTGGACATATAATTTTTATGATGGCATGATATTCCAGCATCATTTATTTTTAACGACTTTGATTGTTGGATATTTGGGATGTTTTAAAATTTTTACTATTTTATCATTTTAATAGAGTTTTAGACCTCTGAGAACAAAATCATTACTTGAATTCATGACTGGTTCTTAAACAGAAATTACTGGGTTAGATGCTCAAGCAGTACTGTTGATATCTGAAGCTGTGTTGAGTACTTWGCTTCTCCTTACTTTGCTTTTTTGAACTTTCTTTGTAGCTATTTCATATGAAATATTTTGCAAATGACACCTAAAGCAAAAGTAAGATCTTGCTTTATGTGTTAATTCCATGAAAATTACTACCTATAGTATGCTATAAGTTATAAGAAAAGAATTGGAGAGGAACGAAAGAGAACATGGGAAGAAAACCTGATGATCATGCATAGGGTAATCTGAGTGACAAAAGTAAGCAACTTCTGGCAAATGTTTGTTAGATGGATATGGGTTGATTTTCTTTTACCCATCAGTATAATTTTTTCCATGCCATTCAGCAACATTGGAAATAAAATAATTGTCTAAATTAAAGTTGTTGATATCTTTAATTTTGTTTTATGGTTGAAAGAAACTAAGAATTCCTACTAGGAGATTCTTAATTAACTCTGTGGAAGATTAGGTTGATTGTCTTCATTCACAGATGATATACTGAATGGTTAAATGAATGTTCCAGAAACTCTGATAGGATCAAGGATTTATTTTTGCAATTAAACTTCAGTCCATTATTATTTACCCTTCTTGATTATTATTATTACTATTATTATTGCAGAATTACAGGCTAGCTATTGAAGATTTAACTACAGCTATCAACATGGACAGAAAGTGTTATGTAGCATTTTATAACAGAGCATTATGTTATATCAAGACAAATGAACTTCAAATGGTGAGATGATCATTTAGTAAACATTTAAAAACAATATTTACTTAATGGCTTGTTGATACCAATAAATAACATTGATTAAACAATATGTTAAAGCATTTGTAAACATATTTAAAGCATCTGTAAAGTATTTTCCCATTTTGTCTGTAAATGTGGCAAGTAATTCCTATGGAAATACACCACATAAAACTGAATACCAAAGAACCATTTCAAAGAATATTTCTGTTAGTTTCCTTACACTATTTCTATAATAAGTAAAAAAATTAATTTTTTTAGTGCTAATATAAACCTTTAAAGGTTGACTAAATTAAAATACACTACATAAGTATCATGTGAGATGTATCTATGGATACTCTGCCTGTAGAATTTTATAGCAGTGATCACTAGCAATAGTATGGTTTCACTCCTTTGATTTTAGCTAGAGCAGTTCATGGAGGCATTTTTTGGAAGGTCCTGACACTCTACATGCAGTGGGGGCTTGGTGTGATGGTTTTAGTCTCTGGGGACCAGTGAACAAGATGTGCCACTGTGGCTACAATGAATCCTTCTCTCCATTTGTCTTGATCCAGTGTCTACCTGTGTAAACTCTCTTTTATATTTCCCCGTCCTACTCTCATCTTCTCACTCCTTCTCAGTGAGGTCATTCTTCAAGGAGAATTCCTGAGGGTGGAGCAGCTGATCTGTGAGCTCCCAGTGTTCTGTTGTCCTATTCATTTTGCTTCTTTTTCTCTCTTTTACGCTGGTCTCCCCCTCCATGTTTCTGCTCCTTTCCCAGTAAATGAAGCTTTTCCTTGGAAAGACTTCATCCTATTTTCACTATTCTGTGCAAACACACTCCCCAGTTTCTCTGAAAGTTGGTCGTCTGTTTAAAACACTTAGAAGTTTGCAAGCTTTGAAGAGAAGAAGGGTTGGGAAACATGGGTTCTATTCAAGAGGATGCACAATTCCTGGCAACCAGACTATCAGGTTTCCTCCAGATATGTTGACAAATGAATAACTAATTTTGAACAAGGGAGTGGTTAAAATCCAAGGAGTTAATTAAAGGAGCATTTATCAGTGACCTGCACAGCAGGTGTCTGTGAGAACTCCCTCTCCACCAGGACTCCTACTAGAAAGGTAATCCTGAAGCGGAAACAATAGGCTGCATAGGGAAGGGACCTCCAAGTTTCTGTTATCTCAGATACCTCCAAGTTTCTGTTATCTCAGATACTTAAAAACTTAAAAAAGCCAAGTCCCGGTTAATAAAGAAAATGCAAAACTGCCCGAATAGATTGAGACCAAATTAGAACCATCCAGGACTCCAGATCATTTCATCCCTTCATTTTACAGAGAGGAAATGGAAGTAGGGAGAGGCTAGAAAACTCATCTGAGTCACACAGGGAGCCAGAGACCTGTGTGGTGTTCCAGGTTTGTTTGCTTCTGGGTTAACAGACTCTAGGTGGCTTTACAAAGGCATCTGATCTCCAACATGTGGACCAGCTATCATTTAACAGTGTCACCTCCTTCCTTTTGCTGACTTCCATTCTCCACATTCTTGTCATCACTAGACTGATTAAGAAAAAAAAAGTGTCTTTCCAAAAAAAAAAAGCACTTTCGAGATATGGTGAATTCTGGTTCTTCTATTCTATACTAATAAAAACAATAGCATTTACTTCTTATTTAGGGCTTGTTGTATGTCAAGTCCCGGGTTAAATGATTGATCAATGTAGAAATAAAATGTTTCTAAATGAACTCTTAAAACAATCTATTAAATGTTTAATATACCAATTTGCAGAGGAGGAAACTGAGAAGCAACTTCTAATAGAGCAGGATGATACACATCCAGGAAAGGTCATTCTCTTAAAACCACCGTGCTCCCACTTCCCCACTCCTGCTGACCAAGAAATCTCATTTCCTGGCAGTTGTTTCCCCTTATATCACATATTCAGCTGCTTAGCGGATCTCTAATGCACCTTACTGGTTTTATAGTCTGTGGTTCTGTGRAAGGAAAAGATACGTAATTTTTGGCTAAGCTTCTAGTATTTTTTTTTCAAGCATTATTATTTTTACAGTGCTGTTTATTTTTGTTTACAACTATGCCACAGTATACATATAGAATCTTTTAAAAAAATTTTTTTTTTTTAGTTTTTGATGTACCTTTTTATTTTTTTATATTTATATGTGGTGCTGAGGATCAAACCCAGTACTTTACACGTGCTAGGCAAGCACTCAGCCACTGAGCCACAACCCCAGCCCCTACATATAGGTTCTTTAACTGAGCAATATTTTTAGACACTTAACTCTGCACAGTCAGGGAATGCTGGAGAAGGGCCAATCAGCACAAAGTGATATGGCACTTATTTTCCATTTTCAGTAGCAGGTGCTACTAGCATATGAGATTTGGCCCTTTTCTGATCAGACCATATGACTTTTTTGGGACAAAATGCTCAGTAGGGAAATAGTTTAGGAGATATCACTCCAATCCAAATTTAGGATGCTTTTAGGACCTGGTGGACAGAGCAGAGGGCAGAAAACAAAAGCAAAAGCAAAAACCTGTTTATTCAGTGAAAGAAAAAAAAGAATAAAAATAAAGGCTACCACTTATTTAAAAAAGTGACCATGTTTATAATACTTAGCTAAGGGAACCCTATAAATCTAGCATATGATTATTTTGGTCCCAAATGATAAGTCAAACTAAGGAACTAAGGTTGAGACCCCATTTTGTGCATGGACACATTTGCCCATGGCTAATGAACAAGGTATCTACAGAGGTATATTTAAGTTGTGATTATTTTATTTTTAGGCCTTAGCAGATTATGGAATTGTGCTGCTGCTTGAAGCTGTAGAAAGTATAATCTTAAATACTCTCATTAATCGTGGAATCGTCTATGCTGATCAAGAGCAGTATGGCTTTGCCTTAGAGGTGAGCTCTCCTGTGGATGTGTAAAATGAACCCACTTGATTTTATACATTCTCTTTTGAAAACTAGTGAACATGTTTTCATTGCTACCAAATAGCCATACTAATGAGTGATAACTTTAGCCACAATTGTTCTGAAATACTAGGAATGATTAAAAGAACCTTTGCAAGAATGTGTATTTTTACTTCATATTGTTTACAGATAAATAGCCAGTGCAAAAGGAATAAATTCTAAATTGACCCAGACTATTACCTCTGGAAAGAAATATACACAAAATTCTTTTGTGTGGCAAATGAAATGATTTGTGTATCACATACTCTGGTGCTTGGTGCTCTTTCTCCTTGACAATTTTTTATTTTCCTATCGAAAGCATATCAAAATAAATATATTTAAGTGATTCAGGGTGTAGTTGGTCAGAATGGGCTACTGGGAACATACTTTTCAGTTAGTGGGGACAACATGTTCATAATTGTAATAGATGTGAGCGTATGCAGCATATTGAAAAAATAGTTTGATTTTTATTTCATTATAAAATAAAGAAAATTCATAATTGTCATTTAACTTTATTTTTATTGACTATTTTATGGTAACTTTGGAATTAAGAAACACAAGACAAAAATCAAATAGCATTTTGAGGTTTACAGTTAGGTAATAGCAGTTATGCATGTTAGTTTCTAAGGAATTACAACCTAAACATTAGATAGTAGAGTGTTTTCCTATTTTTTTTTTCACTTCCCAGGATGGTTTTTATAATTTTTGACATCTGGAGTCATCTTTTGAGATTCTGCCCAACAGAATCACTTGTTTTCTACATTGCTTACTGTATGATAAAATGTAATCTCAACATTTGAATTCCTTTAGGCTTTTTGGTAATTGAAAATATCTTTGAGACATAGGCAGAGGCTGCTAAAGAATTTCTCTGTTTGTGGTAGACAAGAAAACTATGGGAATCTGGGCAATAGTGTTGGATTAGAGAAAGTGAGAAAAAGGGAGGTGGGAAGCAAAGAACTTCAGCTGTTGGGGAATGAAATGCTGGGCCTGTGTTACCTACTGAATGAATATTTATTTTGCACTACACAACTATATTTATCCTATTTATTGCACAGTTGCTAGGTATCAGGTTCAACAATACTGCAGAATTTAAAATCATAACTTTCAGAGGAGGAAACTGGTATTCAAGAGAAATTAAATAAGTTCTTTGATCCAGTAGATACTAGGGCAAGCCTGAACTAGGTCTCACTTGATCTTGAATGCTGTTCCTTCAGCCAAGGTACTGGCACTGGAGGTAAGGATACAAATAAGACTGGGTTCGAGTTCTTGAGGAGATGAAGGCCTGGTGAGAATCATTCTTGACCTCTCTCTTTCCTCTCACCCCACAACAAACCCATTAGCAAGTCCAGTCAGCTTTAACACTAAAACATATTTTGAAATAATTCAAGTCTCCTAATGGCCACTGCCACCTCCCTCTCAACAAGTAGGGACTGAACTCAGATATCAGAGTCCTCTCTCTCCTGGACCATTGCTGTAGCTTTCCAACTGACCTCTCTGCCTCCATGCTTGCTCCTCTGCACACTCTTCTCCATTCAGCAGCCAGAGAAAACTCTTCAAAGCATAAAGCTGAACAAGTTAACTCCTCTGCTCCAAGCTCTCCAATGGCTTCCCATGACACTTACAATAAAATCTGAACTCTTGACCATGATCGACCATGATCCTACTTGACCTGATTGCTGCTCACCTTTCTGACCTCATTATCAGTCCCCTTTTCTACACCCCAGTTACTTCACTCTGGCCTTTAGCTATCCCTTGGCAAAGCCAGGCTCCCTTCCTGCGCAGGGCTTTTGTACAAGCTCTTCCCTGTGCACATGGCACTCTTCTGACTGATCTGTATATGTCTCAGGCCACCCTTCATTTATGTTTCTGTCCACATGTGACCTCCTTAATAAAAGAAAAATGAATAGGTCATCATAGGTATATAGGGGTAACAGGAGAATGGACAGGAGAATGTGTGGAGTGATGGTATGAGATAGCTAAATCCTATTCTATGTATAAAGTGAATTGTGGTAAAGTTAAATGTGATGCAATACTCATGTTATTTAGAAACTTGAGGGTAAATGTCAGAAAAAAATAACAGGTATAAAAACAGTTGCCTTTATGGAGTGGAACTTGGGAGTGGGGGAGAAGAAGTAGAACAAGGGATCATTAGTTAGTACCTACGTTCTTGAGTTTTTTAGAGCCTGAATATTATATACATGGTTTACTTTGATAAGAATAATTGAAGAATGTCTTTTGAGCGAGTTTACAAATTGCAGAATAAAATGGGTCTTATTTGGGGGTGAGGGTTCAGTGAGTGCTGACTAGGGTTCAGGGAGATGGGTGGTGAYGGGAACTAGAAAGATGTGGTCATGTGTCATTTCCAGGGCAGGGAGGGTGGAAGAAATGCATGTTAGGTTGGGACAGTGAGACAAGGACAGGGGACAGCATGCATGTATGTGATGGAGCCAGTTTCCAGGGGAAGTGAGATGAATGAATACTCTGACAGAGAATGGAAGATGGCTGGCAGCGTGTTTGATTACATTATATCTGATTAGACAATCTATTTGTTATTTTAATCCGAATGGTTCCATTTAGTATTGAAACATGCCTCATGAATCTAAGCAGAAAATCCACATTTATAGATCAGTCTGTTTTTGATACCTCTTCCTCCTGTTGGATCCCTGAGTGCTCAGCTCAGTCCTGCTGCTTCTCATTCCAATTCCTACCTCCAAAGACAGTCTCCCCTCAAATACAACCAGAGAAAGTTCATGCAAGGAGGAGAGAGGGAGAGAGAGATTGTGCTTTATTTAGAGTTAGCTCTTCTGTAGTTTGGAAATGCCCTTTGGGACTGTGGATTGCTGGTCACCCTCAGGAAGGGAGTCTGGAGGGATTTTGTACTGCAAAGCAGAGTACAGCACTCTCCACTGTTTAGCTTGGTCACCTGAGGTCACAACCGAAATTGCCCATGATGATTCCTGCGGAAGAGGACCTCTGGGGAAAAGAAGAGTCATTTTTATTCCTTCATAGGTTCTGGACTCTTACTTTAGGAGTCATTAAAATCAATCTATATCATATGCGTGTAAGTGTATGCATATGTACCTACAGAATATTTTGATTTGTAGATATTTATTTAAATGTGAATTTTAGTAATCTTATTTTGCTTCAGGTTACAAATGTTTTTGTAGGTGTTTGGAAAGCTATAAGCTTCAGAGACTGTCTCTGGTACCTAATAGAGGAGAGTGTTCTGGGCCACTCTGGCAGGATCCCTTGCAGGCTCAGCACTTTCGATTTTTTTTTTTTTTTTTTTATACAGCCTGTTCCCAGGGCCACTCAAATCCATACCAACTGACTTCCCAAACTTCAAATCTTAGGGTTAGAGTTTTCATTCCTTCTTGCTCAGGGAAGCTTCCGAATCCCTGAACAAAGCTACCTATTTCTTTCCAGAAGTGTGGATTCCAAAGATGGAAGCAGGCTTAACTAATTCATACACAAGGCTTAGTTGTGTCTTTTTCTGGACTGGAAGTTTGCTCAAAAGTTTTCTCCAGGGGAGTTTCCTTTTCTATCTAGACAGGGAAGTGTCTGATGGTGATCATGGGGTATAAACAATAAAAATAGAACAAGTGAGATAATTCATTACACATGGTAGGGAAACACCACAGAAAAATCCCTTTTCTTAAAGTGGAGGCAAGTAGTACAAGATTCTGAATGATTTATAATGACTGGATTCCTTTGCTCCATCCCTTTGTCCTAGTTGTGATCCTGTGAGGGAAAAAAAATGAGGTTTTAAGAAGATGTATATTTTAATGCTTATGTTAAGTATATTCGTGTGGAATCAAAGATAAAAGTTTTACAGGGAACTTGCAAAATTAACACAAACTTATAAAACTGTTTCAGGATTTTAAACAAGCTGCGCTGATAAGCCAGACCAACGTGAGTCTTTGTCATGCTACCGCCATGTGCCACCACAGGTATGGAGATCAACTGGTGTCCAAGGGGAGGCAAGTGGGGTTATCACATATGGGGACTTACTTATATCCCCATGAAGAAGCCAGGAAGGAATGGAAGAAATTGGGGACAATTTTGTGGATGTGAAAACATTCAAAAGCAGGGAGAAAAATGTGAATTCCCTGAACAGACACAGGAACCACCACATCTAGCATGTCATTGGCACCATTCTGCCTTCCTCACACTCTCTCAGACCAGTCAGGGGGTGAACACCTGCATCATGGTGTTGGGGGTGTCCATTTATGGTTACCAGCCTGGATACTGCAAAGGGTCTTGGTAACATGTACAATAAAATTATACATAGCTTGAAATATCTAAGCACAGAATAAAGTAATGTAATTTGTTCATAAAATGGGACTGTCTTTTAAAAATTCCATTTGCTAGAAGAGAGGCTGGTTTTAAAAAGTAATGTATTTTCAAGAAAATTTTGGCTTTAAAACATAAGTATAAATCTAAAACTAATTAAGAAAATGCCAGCAAATGTCTACAAAATACAATGAAATCTAGAAAAGCACAGTACTTAAAACATTATTACCACTTTCTAAGATGATTGCTCTTTACTTCTATAAGTAAGTTATAGAATGAGAGAATATTTATATAAGGCTAAAATATAAACAATCAATTTAAAATACATTTATAATATATATATATGCCTTTGCTAACCATAATGTTTACATTTCTACATGTACATTTGACATGTGAAGATTAAGTTTTGATCATTTTGCTTCAAATGCATAGAGACTCAGCACATGCAGATTTTAATATGGGATAAAATGTACTTGGTTAAGTAATAGTTTATAGCATTACTTTTAATAAGAGAAACAGCATTTAATTTAGAGGAGGAAGTTAGGATAATTCATAAATTATATAGACAAGTCTGTGCAACTATTCAGTTTAAAGAATAGAACATAGTTTGCATTATTTAGGAAATTGACACTCTTTTGTTTTTGATACTGGGGATTGAACTCAGGGGCACTAAGCCATGTCCCCAGCTCTATTTTGTATTTTATTTAGAGACAGGGTCTCATTGAGTTGCTTGGTGTCTCACTTTTTCTGAAGTTGGTTTGAACTCATGATCCTCCTGCCTCAGCTTCCCAAGCTGCTAGGATTACCAACATGCACCCCCGGGGCCTGGCTGAAATCAACTCTTTTTATTTTCCATTTTAGCACATAGTACATATATGTTTCCCTATAAGAATTAGAGGGTTTTTAAAAAATTTATTAACAAAGGAATATAGTGACTGGACCTTCAAAGGTGACTTTGGGTTAAAAGGCCTAAATTGGGATAGTACCTTTTATTTTATACAGACAGTAAAACATTGTAACACTGTTACCTATTTTAACCCAGCAACATTTGTACAATCCATTTCATTAAGTAATTGTCATTCTTTTTTTTCTGTTTTAATAATTTTTATTTGTCTAAAAAGAGCCTTTACTTATCTCCATCCTTCAAAAATTTTAAATTAATTAATGTATTTTAATTAGGTTTATATGACAGCAGAATGCATGTTGATTCATTGTACACAATTGCAGCACAATTTTACATTTCTATGGTTACACCTTATGTACAGTCATACATATACCTAGGTAATGATTTCTATCTCATTCCACCATCTTTCCTGCACCCCCTCCCCCCTCCCCTTTGCCCAAAGTTTCTCCATTTTTCACATGCCTACCCCCTCCCTGTTATGGATCAGCATTCACTTATCAGAGAAAACATTCAGCTTTTGATTTTTTGGGATTGACTTACTTTGCTTAGCATGATATTCTCAAACTCATCCATTTACCTGCAAATGCATTATTTTTATTCTCTTTTAATGCTGAGTAATATTCCATTGTGTATATATATTACAGTTTCTGTATCCATTTATCTATTGAAGGGCATGTAGGTTGCTTCCAAGTTTAGCTATTGTGAATTGAGCTGCTATAAACGTTGATGTGGCTGTGTTACTATAGTATGCTGATTTTAAGTGTTTGGGGTATAGACCGATGAGTGGGATACCTGGGTCAAATGATGGTTCTATTCCAAGTTTTCTAAGGAATCGCCATACTGCTTTCCAAATTGGTTGCACCAATTTGCAGTTCCACCAGCAATGTATGAGTGTGCCTTTCCCCCCACATTCTTGCCAACATTTATTATTGTCTATATTCTTAATAACTGCCATTCTGACTGGACATGAAATTCATTTGGAAAAATAAGAGACCCTGAATAGCCAAAGCAATCTTTAGCAAGAGGAATGAAGCAGGAGGCATCACAATACCAGACTTTAAACTATACTAACAAAAATGGCATGGTATTGGCACCCAAAATAGATATGTAGACCAATGGTACAGAATAGAAGACACAGAGACAAACACACACAAATACAGTTATTTCATATTAGACAAAGGCACCAAAAACATACAGTGGAGAAAAGATAGTCTCTTCAACAAATAGTGTTGGGAGAACTAGAAATCCATATGCAGCAAGATGAGAATAAATACCTGTCTCTCACCATGCACAAAACTCAACTCAAAGTGGATCAAGGACCTAGGAATTAGTCCAGAGAAACTGCACCTAATAGAGGGAAAAGTGGGCCCAAATATTCATCATGCTGGATTAAGCCCCGACTTCCTTAACAAGACACCTAAAGTGCAAGAAATAAAACCAAGAATAGATGGGATGGACTCAAACTAAAAAGCTTCTTCTCAGCAACAGAAACAATCAATGTGGTGAACAGAGAGCCTACATTTTGGGAGCAAATTTTTGCCTCGCACACATCAGAGCACTAATCTCCAGGATATATAAAGAACTCAAAAAACTTAACACCAAAACAAAACAAAAAAATCCCAAAAAACCAAATACCCCAATCAATAAATGGGCTAAGGAGCTGAACAGACACTTCTCAGAAGAAGAAATACAAGTGGTCAACAAATATATCAAAAAATGTTCAACGTCTCTAATAATTAGAGAAATGCAAATCAAAACTACTGTAAGTAATTGTCATTTTTGAGAAGAGATGGAGTAATGATGACTGCTGGGTTTGTTTTGATGGGGTGTGTGCAGATAAAAAATGTCCAAGGTCATTGCATTCTGTTAAAACTAAAAAGAGTCCAAGTTTCTCTCAATATCTTTCCTATGTTTAGCAACTGTTAAGAGTAAGTTTCTCTGTGTGTCAGTTCACAATCTCTTATGAAATGTAATCACTGGGTATATATGGCAGAGCCTTCCTAAGCTGGTACTGCTTTGCAATTCCAAATAACCAATTGTCATCACCCAGCTAGGATCTGTATTGTTCTTCAATAAAAGTAGAATTTAAATCAACAATAAATCCCTGTTAACTCAGAATCCCAATTCCATGTGTATTGAGTTTTAACAATTTTACTGAACTTAAAAACAAACAATGTTTACTCATCAGTTATATTTATTTCAGGAAAACTATTTTTTTGCTTTTCAAGGTGAACTGTAACATACTATGGCAGTATGGTTTGTAACTATGGGGACTTGCTTTTGGTGTCTTATGGTAGGAAAAGCAAACTTTTCTCACTTGGAAAATTTTATAAAAGGAATAAATCTTTAAATTTTAGGGCTTTGATCTTTGAACTTATGGGATTGCAGACTTTTGAAGTATCCTTTGTATATCTCTGGTTCTCACTCGTGTGGTTGCTAGGAGACAAGATTCCTTAGCTTGAATATCCTACTTGTTGCCCAATTTAATCATCAAGAGTGTTATGATGGAGTTAAGTTTTAGATCTCTTTGAGAAAGCCACCTTCAGATTTTAAAAAATAATAATATAGAAGGCAATTACTCCCTTGTATAACCTACACATTTTTTATTCAGCAAATTTATTTTTACTGTTCTTAATATTTGCATAATTTTAAAAAATCTTTAATTCTGAAAGCCACATTCTTTAGTTGGGGAGGTGTTTGTGATTTATTTGTACAACTCAGTAGGGCACATCTGGTCACGTATGTGATTAATGTGGTAAAGGCAGTGGGCCTTTGTGTTTGTGGCCCAGTGGGTAAGTTCAGCGTATGATTTATTGTTAGCAGACACTGACGAGAATCAGGCATCCTTGTGCGTGATCACATTACTGTAGATTAAAAGAAACACATTTTATTTTAGAAAAACTTTTAAAATATACTTTTATATTTATAGTAATAGATGCTTAACAATTTGTATCTCTCTGAGCATGCATCTTGATGCAATGTAGATATTCTGCCACATTTTTCCATTGGCTAATTTTCATGGGATGACTTAACAAGATCTTCTACCTATAGGACACTTTGATTAACACATCTCCAGAAAAATGAAATTGCTGTTTCTTCATGGGTTTTGTATCTTTTTTCTTGTCTGTTGATATGGGAAGCAGGGGAGTCTGTCTTCGTCTTTGTCACCTCCTCTGGACTTGATTTTAGTCATCATCAATTTTGAGGTGATTTCCAAGTGGCTTTCAAGATTCATTTCCAGATTTACGGTTCAATGATTATTTACTTTGTTTGAGCAAACTAGATGCTCATTAAAGTTAATGCTGATTACTAGAGAGGTATGAAAAATAGCATCAGTCATTGCCTTTTGGGAACGCACAACTTACATGACATGGTGGTTTGCCTCGACTCACTGACTCATAGTTTTTATACTTTTTTGTAATTTGTTAACCTATACAAAAAGACAGATTATAGGGGGCTGGGGTTGTGGCTCAGTGGTAGAGCACTTGCCTAGAACATGTGAGGCACTGGATTTGAACCTCAGCACCACATAAAAACAAACAAACAAATAAAATATAGTTTAACAAAGAAAAGAATGCTTTTCCTTAAAAATAGGAAGACAGATTATGTTTTATAAGCCATATATTAGAATGTGCACTTACACAGGATTTAAAATTTCTTTCTAGGTAAGAGAGGGGGTGTATATGATGCAATTTGAATGTTAATAAACTAGTAATATTTCAGAGATTTACAGGAGGACAGGGATTGCCCTGGAGATTTCAGTACACATCGTCACCATARGTATGCATCATAAATAATACTTTATTAGCCATTAATAGAATTGCTGAGTATAACACAGCTTACCAGGCAATGATTAGGTACAATGAGAAGGTACCTGGGAAGGCGTCGTGACCCTTCATTAGCAAACTTTTGCTTCTAAAATAGTGCCAGTTGCCAAGAAAGAGGACCACAATTTCATTATAAACTACTGGAGGGAAACCTGTGATTTCTGAGTAATGACCACGAGGTGAACTTAGAAGCTGCCAAGTGGCTCGCATACATGAATGTTAGCTCTGCCTGTCTGGACCATCAAAAGCCAAGCTTTTCTAGTGCTCCAGTGTTGATTCTTGTGTGATCTTCTAGCACAGCACTTGGTGCGGTACTTTTGGATAGTGTTTGCCAAAATGTCACACTTCAGTTGTTTTTCATGGTAAGAACAAACATTAAAAATACTTATTCAAAAATTATGGTAGGTTATTTCTTTGGATTGAACTTCTATACTACCCGACACCCCAACTGAACAAAAATCAAAATGGAGTTACTCCTACTAAATGACACCTAATCATACTAAACTTTGAGGAAATAGATATAAAGGAGGCTAGTCTCCCTGCCCAGCCAACACAGAGATTCCAGACTGAGTCATCATAATAATGAAATACCCTCTGCTTTTAACCCTGAGCTCCAAGCTTCAAAAGTAGCCTCAGGTATACTGATGTTAACAAGTTTTTTCCTCGCCTATTGTTCTTTTTTCTTTGTTTCTATGTTTTTAACCCCACTATTATTTCCCAGTGGGATTGGAGACCAAATAAGTCCATTTATGATGGTGAGAGTGAGGTGAAGGCACAACATTCTGGTTGGTGGTCAATTTTGAGAGGTTGACCAAAAGGGAATAGGTTGACTAAATGGGAAGAATTATTAAGTTTGGCCTAAAGCTACTTTCCTCCACTGTAACCTAACATGATGTGTAAGCAAGCTGTAACCCATTTTTATAAAAAAATTACCACATCCCAGCCAATTACAAGCAACCAACTGTTCAAACATCAAATAGGATAGAAGTGAGCTGGAACCATCTATGCTGTCTCTACCTCACTTCTCCTTTCTTTATGTCATTTCCTTTTCTCAATTTGTACAATCTGCATATTTTTGGGGTGAAACTTTTTGAGCCATTTTGGGTCTAGACTGCTGCTCAATTCTAGTATCACAAATAACACCAATTAAGACCTGAAAAACTAATTCTTTTGGTAATGTTCTTTTTACAATGTGAGAAACGGATATCACTTTTCACTTTCAAAATGAGCAACTTTCTGAACCTTCCATACATATCAAGGGGGAAAGTCTCAGATAAGAAAGCTAAGAGTTTGCTGAGTGCAGTGGTACACGCCTGTAATTCCAGTGGCTTGGGAGGCTGAGGCAGGAGGATTGTGAGTTCATAGCCAGCCAGCAAGGAGCTAAGCAACTCAGTGAGAGAACCCTGTCTCTAAATAAAACAGGGCTGGGGATGTGGCTCAGTGGTCGCGTACCTCTGAGTTTAATTCCCAGTACCAAAAAAAAACAAAACAAAACAAAAAACAAACAAAAAAGAGTCTTTTTTTAAAAAAATTGTTCTTTTTAGATACATGATAGTAGAGTATATTCTGACATATTATAAATACATAAAGTATAACTTATTTTAATTAGGATTTCATTCTTGTGTTTATACATGATGTGGTTTCACTGGTGATATACTCTTATATGAACATAAGAAAGTTATGTCTGATTCATTTCACTGTCTTATTCCTACCCTTTTCCCTTCCCTTCATTCCCCTTTGTCTAATCCCTGAACTTCTATTCTCCCCCGCACCCTCATTGTTTGTTAGCATCTACATATCAGAGAGAACATTTGGCCTTTGTTTTTGTGGGATTGGCTTAGTTCACTTAACATGATAGTCTCTAGAGCCATCTATTTACCAGCAAAAGTCATAAAGTCATTCTTTTTTTTTATAGCTGAGTAATATTCTATTGTGTGTGTGTGTATATATATATATATATATATATATATATATATATATACCATTTTCTTTATCCATTCACCTGTTGAAGGGTACCCAGGTTGGCTCCATAGCTTAGCTATTGTGAATTGAACTGCTATAAACATTGATGTGGCTGTATCACTATAGTATGCTGATTTTAACTCTTTTGGATATATATACTGAGGAGTGGTATTACTGTATCAAATAGTGATTCTATTCCTAGTTTTGTTGAGGAATCTCCAAACTGCTTTCTAAAGTGGTTGAACCAATTTGTAGTCCCACCTACAATTTATGAGTGTACACTTTTTCCCATATCCTCACCATCATTTGTTATTACTTGTATTCTTGATAATTGCCATTCTGACTGGAATGAGATGAAATCTCAGTGTACTTTTCATTTGTATTTCTATAGTTGCTAGACATGTTGAACATTTTTTCATATATTTGTTGACCATTTATATTCTATGAAGTGCCTGTTCAGTTCCTGTGCCTATTTATTGATTGGCTCAAAAAGTAAGATCAAGAATCAATATATGAGACACTATCAAGTTAAGAAGCTTCCTCACATCAAAAGAAACAATCAAGATGTAAAAAAAGAGCCTAGAGAATAGGAGAAAATCTTTGCCACTTGCACCTCAGAGCATTAATCTCCAGGATATATAAAGAACTTTAAAAAAAATTAACACCAAAATACCAAATAACCCAGTCAATAAATAGGCAAAGAGTCAGTATTTAACAATGTTTTATCTTTATAAGAGATGCCACAGTCCCTAGGTTTGGTGTGCTGTAGACCACAGCATCCATTTCTAATTTTATTTATTTCTAGGAGTACCATCTGTTTGTGGCATTACATACTGATTTTTCTATTTGTGGTATTGAAATTAGATTGTACTTTAAAATACATTCAGTTAAGTGAAAAAGTTGACTTAAAGGAAATATCCAGTAGATGGTAGTGCAGGTGGGAAACAAAGTTGGGTAGCTTTCAGCACAAAAGGACTGAAGTTTGGGGAACACTGTTTTAAGACACTCTGGAGTAATATATAGGATACAATAGTTTCTAGAACAGTTGCCCTGGGTTCCATGTATTAATGTGTGTGTTCAGGCTTGGAATCCAGATCTAAACCAGAACATGAAAATGAGTACTAATTATCCAAGGTTGTAATGAGGACCCAATAAAAGCCTATGAAGAACACTTACCACAGAGACCTCACCCATCACCACTCAAGTAGATTTCAAGATGCCATAAGACATAGCATCATTTATCCCAAATTTCCTTTATAAAATGCAAGAATCCCAGGGTAACTGTACTAGAAAATACAATATTTTATAAAGAAAAATGGATAAAATAGTGACCCATTTTATTATATTTTGAATACAACAGCGTAGTTGAGATTCAAGCTCACTGGCTCTCCTGCACCCACTATAGTACACTTTAAGTAAAGAATGTGCAGTGGAGGTGGCTGTGTGGAGAAGCACAAATTTTGAAGTAAGCCTTACCTCAGTTTGAGTCGCAGGTATTTACTCCATGCAAAGTTGGTTTGTTACTTATTATGCCATTTCCTATGTGAAACTTTTCTGGGCCATGATTTTCTTTTCATGTGTGAAATGCAGTCATAAGTAGTTTACAGAACCAAGTAGAATAGAACTTTGGAAGGCATTTAGCACAGTGTCTGGTAAGTAAATAGTGTCCTCATTTTTTTTAAACCCGGACTCTTTCCATATTGAGACTAAATATAATTATTAGATATGCAGGCTAAATGGAAAAGTGACTTTATGTGTCCCTGAACAAATATTTGATTCCTTCAAAGCCCTCACCCCACCACAAGAGACTAACTAGGGAAGCCAGAGAGAATTATCACTGAGCCATATAAATTCACAAGTTAATAAGTAAAATGCACTTCTTCCTCTTCTTTCCTCTCCTTGTTTCTGAAGTCAAATAGTTCTTTATAAATCTGAAGCAAGAACTCACAGTGATGAAAACCTGGTCCCTTTCATATGTATATTAAACACATTTAAATAAATTTATTCTTAATATAAGTCATGCATCACTTACTGATAGGATAAGTTCTATGAGACACATTGTTAGATAGTTTCATGGTTGTGTGAACACCATAGAGTGTATTTACATCAAGTGAGAGGGTCACGATGTCACTAGGTGATAAAGTCTTAAGGGACCACCATTGCATATATGGTCTATGGTTAACTGAAACTTTGTTAGGTAGTACTTGACTGTAATTTACATGGAGTACATTGTCAATAAGAGCACAGGCTTTTTCCCTATTGGTAATTGATAGCTATTAAAACAAGGTTGAAGAATGCCATTTAGACTTTTATCGCTTGAAAAAAGAATTCAAGATTATCATCCCCTCACATTTCTGATGTAAAAATGGCTTTTACTTCCCTTTCTTCTTTTACCAAAATCTTTTGAGAACCTGTCACAGTTCCTTAGATCCTATAAACTTATGTACCTCCTTCTTACAATGGATAATAAAAAATGAAAGATTTTCTTTTATAAGGTCCAATGTAATTCTTTTTGTAAAAGTCATGTACAGGAAAATATTGATTCTGTTATTAGAAAGCATCAATTCACCAGAAGGCACCAATATTTTCTTCCTTCTTTCCTTCCTTCTTTCCTTCCTTCCTTCCTTCCTTCCTTCCTTCCTTCCTTTTTTCTTTTTTTTTTTTTTCAGAATTAAAGAGTATGAAGATGCTGTCAGTTTCTTCACCTGGGCTCTTAAACTTAACCCAAATTTTCTGGATGCTCTTGTTGGTCGGGGGAATTCCTACATGGAATATGGAAATGATGAAGCTACCAAGCAAGCACAGAAGGATTTTCTGAAAGCATTGCATTTTAATCCATCATKTATAAAAGCCAGAATTAGTCTATGCTATAATTTGCAGGTAATATTATATAATAACAACTTAACCACCGACAAATTGTTTGGACAGGATAAAGAATATATTTGGCCCATTTACTTGTGATGGGGATAAAGTCGATTTCTTTGGTTATGAACTTTGACCTTTCCCTTACTTTAATATGCAGAACAGCGGTAGGGTGCAGGGGTTTGTTTAGGGTACAGAGGACCTGCCTGGAAGAGCCTTGGAACCTGAAATGCTAGTCAGAAGAGGATCCTTGGAACTTGAGTTTCTTTAATGTTTGAACCCCTCCCTACTCTTATAAATAGCTTTTAAAACTTACCAGATGAATTTCACATATGAAATTCATCTCTAGTTTATATCTTGGTTCCATAGGTTTTGTCCTATTAAATTATTGAAACAATAAATAAGTAAAGGAGATAAACAATGTATGAAAGTTTTGAAGAGGATTCCAGCTGTGTAAGGGATCAGATGATTTATAGGGACTTCTGGAGTCAGTCATCTTCCAAATGGCAGTGGACTAGGCCTTGCTGGGAAGATCTGGACAGGCACTTGTCCCTCCAGCAGGAAGGAAGGGTGCTACACTGTGGGGAGCCATGCAGGTCTCCACATAGTTTCTATGACACTCTGGCCTGTCCTGTGCACTGAAATTTCACAACTCACTAGTGATTTTCAATAATAAGAGATGCAGGGACATTTTTGGAATAGAGTAAAAAATGTGCTATATTTTCCGTGAGAAGGAACTGAGCAATTGTATGTCTTCTTTTTATCTCCTTTAATATTTCAAAAGATTTTAAGTAATGGAAAAAGTCTGTGTTCAAATTATTATAATCTATAGATATCTCTGTTAATAATATGCCCCTAAAGTTTGCTGCCTTTTCATTCATAAACACACAATTTTGACTGATAAGGCTGATAACATTGGAGGTGTTTGGGATTGTTGGCTATAGTGAGGTATTCTCCAGAACTTATTAATAGGGAATTAAGATTGCCTTCTGAGAGTTAAACATAAAATTAGCCATTACTAGATCACATTAGAATTTGTAAAGGGATGAGGTGACTGCAAAGCAGATAGAGCTGAAGACATCCAGCGGCATGTGTCAGCATCATGGTTCACTGCATTTAGCAGGTGTTTACTGCATACCTGATACAGGCAGGAACTGCATTAGCCTAGGGATACAGCATCGAGAAAGATATGCTGGTTTCTTCTGAGAGAGTGTACTTCCTATTGGAGAGACAGGCACTAATAATCAATTGTATGAATAATGATTTGATTATAATCATGATAAGTGCTACAAAGACAAGCAACAGTCTTTAGTCCAGGGGAACCTAGGTTTATTTGAGGAGTGTGGAGGCTTTCTGAAGAATTAGCAATTGTGTGCTGAGATGTGAAAGATTAGTAACTATTCAGAAGAAGGGCTTGGGCTAGGGTGTAGTGTTCCAGACTGAGGGAGCAGCCCGTTGGAAAGCTTTGAAAGAAAGAGATGGAGGGTTCAAGGGGTAAGATGTTATGGGCAAAGGGAGAGTGGTTTGAGATGAGGCTAGAAAATTAAATAAGGGCTGGTGGTGAAGATCTTGATGTCCAGTTAAAAACGTGACCAGCACTAATTAGAGAAGTGACATTGAAGATTTGCATTTTATGAAGACCTCACTGCAAAAGGATTGAAAAGAGCATCTGCATAAAGGATTGAGTCAAGAAATGAAAGACTGATTAGAGAGAGTTTTAGGGCCACATGAGTACCATCCAGGGGAAAGAGTAACAATTTGTTCAACAGATACTTACATATTCCTTTAGTGTTTGCCTACCAGGGGGGATATAGAAGGGAGCCCAGCAGTTGCTGTGAGGAACAGATGACAGATAAGTTCTATTAGGAGAGTCTGCAGTTTAATATTCCAATAATCTATTCTCAATTTTCCCACTTCCTTGCTTAGTAAATGAACTTTTGATGACAATAGGGATTTCCAAGTGGTTTACGCAGAGAGAAAAGATTTGCCTATCAAAAAGCAAGGTTGGGCTGGGATGGGGCGCTGGGTTCGATCCTCAGCACCACAAAAAAAAAATAAAATAAAGATGTTGTGTCCACCGAAAACTAAAAAAAAAAATAAATAAATATTAAAAAAAATTCTCTCTCTCTCTCTCTCTCAAAAAAAAAAAAAAAAAAGCAAGGTCTATTTCCTTTAGTAGGGGCATTTCTTCTTAGCTTTCTGTGATAATTGCTTAGTCTCTGAGATTCGGACAGGTTAGCTTTTTGAGCCCATGAAAAAAATGACAGAACTGGACTATGCCAAATTCATCAACTCGCTTAATGAGGTGTTTGGAAACTGGTCTTCTCTAGGACATACTTTGACATCCTATTTAAGGTGCCTCTCCTGACCATTTTCCTGTTTTTTCCACTTGGTGCTAAGTTTGGTATACACCATACAAGCTTAGTAGATTTATGAACATTTTTCTTGGAATATGTATAATGGTCCTAAAATTCCAGATGCTGTTCAATTTATCAAAATATGTTCTATCTGTTTATGCAACGCATATTGATTTTACTTTATATATCATGCATATGTCATATAACTGGAATTCAGTGCCAAGCAAATAAACATAATCCCTGCCTATGTGTTTGGAACTCAGTGTAAACTGTTCAGCAATTGTTAGACTCATTGGTGTTTCACATGGTAACCATGGTTTAATGTTGCCTCAAATTGGTATAAGAGGTGACTCTGTAATTGAACTTATTTTAATTAATTAAAATTTCACCATAAAATTTYACCGTAAATAGTCTACCTTCTTGTTTAACATATCTTAGATTTGGTACCATATGCCCTTTAGTAGTACCACATGTCATAGATTTTGGGAGAGGTAGAATCATAAGCATTTGTCATGTTATAGACTATTTCTTATTTCAAGAAATCAAAAAATTATTTTAGGCCCAAGGAAAATTCCAGAAAGCTTGGAACCATTTTACTATTGCCATAGAAATTGATCCAAAGAGCTACCTGGCCTATGAAGGAAGAGCTGTGGTTTGTCTTCAGATGGGTAATAATTTTGCTGCCATGCAGGATATTAATGCTGCCATAAAGGTAAAAATCTATTTAGATTATGTTATTATTAGCATAAATTAACACCATTAAAGAAACGGTCCAAGAAAGAACTTCTCTGTTATCTTTTTAAAGTGACTTGTGGAAAAAATATTATTTTTGGAGGAAATAATTTTTTTTTCTTGAGTAGTTCCCAGGGTTGAGAGTTATTATGACTTGAGAGTTTGTAATCTAAATGCATTTAAAATGAAAAAATAAACTAATTCCTGACAAACATTGATTCTTCTTAGTAAGTGCAGCTTGTAAGTTTCATAGGACATGAACATTATCTTGTAATACAAAATGAATGTAAAACATAAAACAATGTTCTAGGTCTGAAGGAACTAAAGAACTAAAGAAAGATTAAGGTAAATCCCCAGATTTTTCCTGTAGAGAAATTTCATATAAAAATCTCCTATTTTGAATGTAGTGACAGAAATTCTTCTTTTCTTCTAGCTTTTGAATTTGRTTTCTGTAGATTTGGGTGGATGTCCTAAGGTTTGAGATGAGAAAAAGGAAAGAATTTAAAGATAAGTACTACTGCAGAGGACAAATAAGTGGGTTAACTATTCAATTTAATTTCTCTCTAGTTCAACATAGGTAAACAGATAAGTTTTCCCTCTGCAGCTATTCCTTGGCAAGAAACTTAGTAAAGCACCAAGATTATTTGCTTTATTGCAACCAAATCAACAAAGTTGACACCAACCAATTTCATACCAAGTCCTTTCTCAAAATATTTGCTCTAATGGGGTTTTACCTACACTATAAAATTACTTGTTTCCCACAAGTAGATTTCATAATGTTCATTTCTGCGACATGAAATAAGAAATAAATACTATTCCCAGATGCTAAAGACTCTCACTATCATGTTGCAGATCAATACCACAGCAGAGTTCATAACAAATCGTGGTGTGATTCATGAGTTTATGGGCCAAAAACAGAATGCAATAAAAGACTACCAAGCAGCAATTGCTTTAGACCCCAAGTACTCACTGGCTTACTTTAATGCCGGAAATATCTACTTTCACCACAGGCAGTTTTCTCAGGTAATGTGAGTTTTCCTGAACATTTTCTTTTGGACAATAAATACTTTCTTTGTTATATATAGTTTGACATTGCAATCTTTACATCTCAAACTAATAAATAATTAGCTTTTCTTTAAAAACATAGTGTTCTCTTCCATAACAATGTTTATAATTATCCATTATATGTTTACACCTATATGGATTTATTCTCCTTATTTCATCAAATATTCGATGCTTGTCCAGAAACATTTTTTTTTTCCTGAGTGTCAGACTTCCTTTGTTATATTCACCGTCACCAGCTTTCAGCCTGGAACCTTCTGTTCTCCTCTATTTCCACCTCCACTTGGATGTCCTTCAAGACCCCCCTGATGGAGCTGCTAACTCAGCTTAGCTTATACCTTACATTTTATCAGTGAGCATATGATTGGGAGGAAGGAGGCTTGGATTGTAGTTCTGGTTTTGTGTGACCCCTTAATCTCTTTTGGCCTCATTTGCTAATGCTTAAAATGAAGGGATTAGGATATTAGATGATGTTTTCTTAAAACTTATTTATTTGAATTATAATGCATTTACATGATTCAAACTCTTGCCTTTCTGATTGTTTATTTTTTAATCTATAATTACTCTTTTATCTAACAAACTGAAGACAAACAGAACAAAAGAGTAAGTTAACTTATTGTCACCCTTTATTTATATTGTGAAAATTTATTTAAATTATGTCTTTTTTTTTCCCCCTGAGTATTTTTTTGGCAGTATCTCACATATTTTGGTCTATAATTATTTTTAACTTGAGTAAAGTACACACCACATAAAGTTTACTTTCTTAACTATTTTAAGTTTATAGCTCAGAAGTGTTAAATATATCCTGTAATGCTTTTATTAATTAATGTTTTCCTAAAAATTTGCATCTGCAACTTTTATTTCCTCTTTGACTCAAGAATAAATTAACTGGACATTTATTCACATAGAAGAGTTTTAATAGTCTATATATGTCTTTATGTGTATTTTAAAGGTGTCTTAATTTGTAATATATAATCTATTATCCATGTTTTTTTTTAATTTTCAGAGTTTTTCTAAAAACAAGAGGGCTTATAGAATATAAAATATAAAAATAACTTTAATACCCTCATTTCTTTACTTATTTAATTCCTGTACTTGGAACAATAACAAAAACATTACCTTGTAACCTCCTCCTCCTCATTAACGTAAGAGCATAAATCAATAACCCTCATCTTAAAAAAAAAAAAAAAAGGAAATGAACACAGGCCCTCACAGCCTGCTCAGGCAAGCTCCCCCATTCCTTCATGACCATTCTTAGTTGAAGTCTTTGGTAAGCCATCTGTCTGTCGGGTTCTAATTCACCTCACAGGCTCTAGGCAATCCTCTCCACCTGAGCCTCTGCCCCCACTGCTCCTCTGACAGTGTTCTTGCCTCCAGTGTCAGGGACCTCCTCCATCCTCCTCTTACCTGACTTCTCAGCAGCATTTGACCCAGGACACTTTTCCCTTCTTAAAGCTCTTTTGTCTCKGGGGTGACACCATTCTATCCTGTCTTTCTCCCTACCATTTTGGCTGGCTGCTTCCCTTCTCAGTCTGCTTTTCTGGCCCCTCCTCTCTGCCTCTCTTCTGAGTTGGTGATACACCAGGGCTTGCTCCTGCCTCACTTCTCTCTACACTTGTTTTTGCAGATCCATCTCTAATATCCTCACTATAATAATATTCTAAAATCTTTAGGGGTAGGAACCATACTCAGACAGTCCATTTTTTTTCCCCAGGATTTACGCCTCCACCTTTTTTCTCATATTTATCTCCTGTTGCTAAAAGTGGATATTTTATAAGAGCATTAGGGCCCCCAATGATTTGATTTCTGTGCCCCCTGTCTCCAGTCCATCTTTCTTTGAATAAATCCTCTCTCAATTCAAGATGTCATCTGAGTACAACAAAGTCAACTATCACTGTCTCTTTCTCATCTCATTTCCTTTATCTAGCCAGCCATCTAATCTTTTCCATTTAACTTCTTAATTTATTTTCTTTCCTCCTAAAAATGTCCCCTTTGTTCCATTTCTACTGCCATTGCTCTTACTTTTTCTCAAGTTAGAGGTCATGGCCTTGACAGCTGTTACCCCTGTGATTGGCCAGTTGCCCTCAGTGGGGAAGCTAGATGCTGAGGCAGAGTTATGGAAAGTAGAATTCTGTAAGGTGTGGATGAGGTTGTCCTCACTCAGATTTCAGTGGATAGCTGGGAGACTAGTGTTTCCCAGGCAGAAATACCAAGGTCAATTGCCTTAAACTTTGCTAATCTCATCACCCTCCCGCTGAGTTCTAAAAATGTTCTTTAGCATTGTAAAGTTAGTAAATGAGATTAAGACAAATAAAATGCCCAGGGTGATTTCTGGTTTCTGTATATGCTTCCATTTGCATGAAAGGATGATCATTACCTTTCACATTTATTTATTTGATAACTCTATGGACCATCCCATACAAAATTATTTGTTTAGATCCAAAGTGTAGCTTGAACTTTAAAAATTTTTAAAAAGTATAACTCAATTTCTCCCACATTGCAGATACATTAACTGGGCAATATTTCATCTAAAATATTTTCCATCCTCTGTCTTGATGCATTGGATGTGTGGGTTTAAGAGTGTACACACATCTAGGATCAAGCAGGCTTGAGAATAGCTATTCAGCTTTGCCCCCATGCTCTGGCCTCTTTGTGGAGAAGAGGGCTTCTATGCCCTTTCCCTCCCAACTGCTCACCCTTGTTTCTGACTGTATTGGAAGGTTTAGGCTCAAAAGAAAGTTTCCCTCAAAAGATCACATAGCGGTGGCGGTGGTGCTGGGGTTATGGTTCAGTGGTAGAGCACTTGCCTTGCACACATAAGGCACTGGGTTCAACCCTCAGCACCACATAAAAATAAATAAATAAAATAAAGATATTGTGTCCATCTACAAATAAAAATATATTTAAAAAGATCATATAGGGGCTGGGGTTGTAGCTCAGTGGTAGACCGCTTGCCTAGCATGTGTGAGACACTGGGTTTAATCCTCAGCACCAAATAAAAATAAAAGTATTATGCCCATCTACAACTAAAATAAATATATTTTTTAAAAATCACATAATTTCCAGATGGTTAAAACATGTATGTGAGCTAGCTTCTCTTTTCTTTAACTAGAGTCTTAATGTTTTAAAACCCTATTCAAATGGGCTACTTATATGAATTATGAACTACAGGCGAATTAAAAAATAATCAGATCTGCTTTCTAATTAATTAATTATATACATATGAGGATGTCAGAACATTTGTTAAAAAAAATCAAGGCCTATAATTGCATTAGCCTTTAATTGTTTTATACTCCTATACTTCTAGTAACCTCGTTAAATTTATATGTTTTCGATCTTCTAAGTAATGTGTTTTGGAAGCTATAATAAAAAGTTTGCATTTTTTGAAGTTAAGTACACTGTGGTGTTTTACTGAGTTCTTTCCTTTTAGCCAAGATAGGCATTTACTTCTATATGATTGAAGTCATGATCTTGTGCTGTATTATTGTGCAGCCTTTATTGATCATTTATTGGTGAATTAAAATGAAGCCTAAGTTACTTTATGAAGAAAGTAAAACTTGAAGTCATCCCCTCTCTCATTTCTGATGACTGTCAAATGCAGCCAGAGCCTTCTCTTCAGGAATGAATTCTCTTTAACGTCTTCACAGATGGATATCAATTCTGTCCCCATCAAAACAGATCCTTAAATTGCATTTAACTGTAGCATACAATAGCTGCCATCCAGAGCATAGAAATGCCTAGGGAGAAAGTAAGAAAGTAACTACAATTGTGATCCAATTGTCTTTCAAAAGTCAGAGGAAACAACTTTCATGGAGAATTTCTTGAAGACTATTATCTCTTCATTTATAGACATCAGAAGAAAACCGATATATCAGTAATAATTGATTGCATCTTCACTACATTATGGATATTGTTCTCAGTCCATTACATATTAACTCACTTCATCCTTTCAACATCAATGTTGTCAGTGAGTTTTTTTTWAAAAAATGTATAGTCTTTGTTTTATAGATGAAGAAATTAATGCAAATAGAGCTTTAGTAACTCACCCAAGGTGGAGGCAGAATTTGAATCCAACAATCTGTCTCCCTGGTCTAAGCTGCCACTACCATGTGACTGGTATTTATAGCACCCAAGTTGGAAGTGAATTGAGGATTGGTCCTGGGAAATAGAGGGAAATAGTTCAGTGAGGGAGATGGGAGAAAATGATCAGAGAGGTGGACCAGGGAGAGCCCATCCAAAGGACAGAGAGGATTTTAAGAAGGAAGGAGATATGAAGACTGTTTATGTCACAGAAATGCCTTGGGAGAAAGTAACTGGAAAGTGTCCTTTAGATTTGAGGACATCTATAGCCTCAGGAGGACTACAACATAGGAAATAGGAGGAGGCCAATAGAAGGCTGGTTGTGGTGGGTTGGGAAAAATAGAATGAGAAGTAATTGGAGAGAATAAACTAAGTTATGGAAAGTGATTTTCTCTTAAGGGTGAATTTTAAAGTAGGAACCCAATTTTCATCCATCAGTGAGTTAGAAGAAATTCCTAATTTGAGTAGCAGGGTATCTAGGCAGCATCTCAAGCTATGTATGGTTAAAAAAAAATCCCATTTATTATATATCAATACACTATTAAAACAAAATATAAAGAATTACTAGGAATATGATCATATGCTCAGATTCATAGCCATGTCAAAATGCTATGGAAGCTACTTAGTGTTTCAGTTTTGGTTCTTACCTCTTTGCAGGCTTGTAGCAACTAGTTCTTGGACCCCAGACCACGTTTTGAGGGTCCCTTTGTGAACCAAAAAGTCATAATGAGGTTAAAATAAAAGTAATGACAGTTTTTTTTTTGGGGGGGTTGCATAATAGATCTGTAAGTTGGAAGGACACAGTTTAGTAAGAAACGAAACAAGTTCCATCCACAGGAAGAACTGGATTTCTAAAGGGAAAGTTAGGGAGAAATTGGATAAGGGGAAGTGATTTGTTTGAACAATTTTGATTGGAGCTGATAGTTATGCAAGTTGTTTTGAACAAATTTAATGGGAGCTGAAGGTCTGTTCATACATTAATCTATTCTTGATGGATTGCTAGGGGGCTGTTGGCAGGGTATGATTTGTAAGCAGTAAGTCTTTTAAAGCAGTCAGCAAGTCAACAGACATTCTGTGATTGGGAACTGTTGCAATCTTTGGTCTTGCAAGCTCATTCTTTCCAGACAAAGTTAACTTCCAATAGCTGGAAGTTGAAGATTGAGGAATTTGTATCCATGAGGTAAACCAGAGCCTCCCAAATGAAGTCTCTGAGACTCACCCAGGAAGTTTTGCTGTTTCTTGAGCAAACTGCAGCCTTCTTAATTTTTATTGACCTTCCGAGTCAATGATGAATTGTGAATAATTTAGAGTTTTTTATTCTCTCAACAAGATGTTTTATTCCTTCTCTTCTTTATAATTTTTCATAGTATAACTGAAATTTTAAATGAAAAGTTTAAACCTTCTTTGAAAATTCATTTGTCTGTTCAGCTCTTACTATGCTTTTATATATAAAATGTTACTGGCTTAATTTGTATTTATTTTATCTTCTTGTTTGGTCTTTTTCAATTTACTTTTTACCATTTGTAGCTGCTGTTGTTTTGTACATGGATATGAGATTTGGGTGCCAGGTAGTGGGGGCATTTCTTCCAGTAAGGAGAAATATTTTATCATTGACATTATTTAGAATTCCCAATATATGGTGTTATGGTTTGGATCTTAAATGTCTCCTACGGCTCAAAGGCTAAAGGCTTTGTCACCATCCTGTGGCACTACTGGGATATGGTGGAATCTTTAGGAGGTGGGGCCTAGTGGAAGGAAGTTAGGTCATTGGGGGTGTGTCTTTAAAGGGGATACTGGAACCCCTAACCCTTCCTCTCTCTGTTTCCCAGCTGCCATGAGGTGAGCAGCCTCCTCGGCCATAGGCTCCCACCATGATGTTGTTATGCCACATGCCATCACAGGTCCAGAGCAACAGGGCCAGCAGGGACTGAAACCTTAGAAACTGTGAACCAAAATAAATCCTTCCTCCCTTTGAGTTGCTTATCTTAGGTATTTTGTCATAGAGACAGAAAACCACCTTTTGGTTTTGTTATTTATTTTTATGTTCTCTATAGTCAATGCAGCAATATATCTGGGATGAAATACTTCTACTGCCTACTTGGTAGATGACTTGACTTAATTTCAAATTAAAAATAAAAGTGATTCACATTTTTGGATAGCTACCAATTAAAGTACATTCATTATACTTGTTTTTACATTTTATAGGCCAATGACTACTTCTCAAAGGCTTTAAAGTTTGATCCAGAAGATGATCATGCTCTCATGAATCGAGCTATCACAAATACAATATTAAATAAATATGAAGAAGCAGAAGAAGATTTTGCTTGTGCAGTTGAACGTTGTCCATTTTGGGCTGCAGTATATTTCAACAGAGCACATTTATACTGCTGTTTGGAGAAGTATGAGCTAGCTGAGGAAGAATTGAGTAAAGGTATATTTTTTTGTAAGATTATAGCTGTTAATGTGTTTGCTTTTAGACTAAAAAAAATAATCAGGTCTATTTGTCTAGATGAATGTACATAAGAATCAATATGTTTAGATATCATTTTTAATGTAATCAATATAGATTCCTTTTGGTAATAACTTAAAGTTTTGTTAAAGTCACATATAGAGAGTTATTTGGAAACCCATACATAAACAATGCCAACCTTTTGAAGAAAGTCATTGTACTGTGGTCCCCTAAATTTGCTTTCTTATGAAGATTAAAAAATTTTAATTTGTTTTTAGTTGTAGATGGACACAATATCTTCTTATTTATTTATTTATTTATTTTATATGGTGCCGAGGATCAAACCCAGGGCCTCATGCATGCAAGGCAAGCTCTCTACCACTGAACTACAACCCCAGCCCAAAGATTGAATATTTTTAATTTAACTGAATTTCACATTTAAAGAAAAATGTTATCAAATGAATTATATCAAAGTTCTCATAAAATTTTAGTTTTAAATATGGAGCTAGTTTGAGTGCACAAACATATCTTGAATGTATTTTCTTTTGCAGCTCTGTCTTTGAAGCCTAATGACGCTCTAGCATATCACTTCAGAGCAAAAGTTCGTGGTAAAATAGGTCTGATTGAGCAAGCTATGGCTGACTACAACCAAGCACTTGATCTTGAAGACTGTGCCTTACATACATGATTACATAGACTACTGTGGTTTCTACAGTCATTTACATAGCAGTTCTTTCTGAAACTGAAATGTGTTTGTTGTTTAGAAGTTTAAACTGCCTTTGTTATATATTATTATGCTTACTCTTCTATAAACCTTTAATGCATTTTAGCAAAATGTTCATGCTGTACATTAATTATAAACTTTAAAGCATTTTCTGCATACTCAGAATATCTCAAAAATCAAATTTCTTCTTGGAGTGCAGGGTTTAAAGGGGATGTTTCTCAAGGAATATTAATGTGCTCAAATATATATTCTTTAAATAAAAGAATTTTCTTTGAAATAATACTGTACTTAATAGAAAAAAAGTCATAGGTCTTTTCATCAATTCCTACTTATAACATATTCACAGTACCTAGATTTTTAAAAAGAATTAGCTGATGACTATAAAAAATTTGGAAGTCAAGTACATTTTCTCTTGTTCTTTAAACAACATCTATTACTAGTCTGGATTCTTCCTGGTACCCATTTTCTTCCAACAGATAAGCTTGTTTCTCTTTTATATGTTGTTTGCCTTCCAGAATAACACCTATAAAGATTTTGAGCATCCTGTTTTCCTGAGATAATCGCTTCTGCTGCTTTAATTCAGATTTCATGAATGTGTAAATAAATGCAGACTTTATAATATATATAAAAATCTTTGTACACTTGTCATTAGTGCTTCATAGGAGTTGATGAGTAAAATATTAAAACAGTTAAAATTATTCTATTAACATGTTAATTGTACAATTTAAAAGGCTTCATTGTGACATTTCCATCCATGCACATGTCAAGCACTGATATAAAAATTCTTTATAGAATGTCTTTGAAGGATCTTTCAATGAATCAGAGGAACCCTCCTTTTACCTCACTGATAATAATAACAAGGCTTCCTAACAATTTGTTCGAATTTTATTTCACTCAGTTTGTTTTCCTTCTTGCTGTTTTATTATTCCAGTATACCTCCAGCTCCTCAGAGGCCCATTTGCACTGCAATCACACATTTTGGAAAGAACAATTGTGTTCATTCACTTCCCTTTGTTCTTAGTTTGATGTTCCAGAGTTTCACAATAGAAAGTTGACTTTAGTTTGTAAGTTATGATGGGGATGCTTCACACTATTACAGGATAATATTCCTGGCATGGAATGTGGGTACACGTGAGGATGAAATCACCCATCCCTAATGAGTTATTTCAGCTGGTGAATCAAGCACATTTAATAAGTGTTTTTTGGCTCCTCTTGCTCTCACTGATCTCCAGACACTTTTGTCACTGACTTAGCCTCAGCTGAGATTCAGACTGACCTCATGTATCAATTGAGAGCCCCTCTCCTATGGTGACTCACATCTCTCCCAACTGTCCTGGCTCCTCCATTCCTGCTGAGGTGGGTTGGATGCTGGTGGGATTCTCTTGGTGCCCACCTGTGCACCACAGATATGCAGAAGTCCCCATCAAATGAACCTTTGATGAACCTTTCATCTCCTGGTGGAATGTCCTGAGACACTGTCTATTTGGCCTCCTTGAGGGTGGTCCTGTGAGGTGAAGCAGTCAGTTGTATTTACTGGCAGCCAGCACCAAAGTGCACCTTATCTTGGTGCTTCTGTCTTCCCTGCYTTGCTACCTATGTCCGTCACCCCTGCTTTCCTGGGATTAAATTTCTTGATAAAGTAGCCATGCAGAAGCATTTGCCACAGGTTCTATTTTCTGGGAAAGCCCAGGGTAAGCAAATTAATAATTGAATTTTTTTTTCTAATTGCACACAAATACTTCTAACAAGAGGCAGGATATGGTAACTGTTGGGGAATGATGCAAACCAAGGGTCATGAAACATAAATGGGGATAATCATGTCTAACTTGTCAAAATGCTATATGTCTCTTGGCACCCATGGTTTCTGTACATACTGCCAGCACCCATGGTGTTCTACTGGAGGCATTTCTCAGACCACACATAGGTCAAGTCAGAACTTCAGGGGGATTAATGATAGTAATGACAGAGGGGTGATGAAGAAAAGCTTTTCATCTCCCTTGCCTGCTGAGAGGATAACTTCCCAACCTCCCCTCTGGGATTGAGCTCCAGTTGCCTACCGTATCCATTAATGGTTTCCTTAAAGTAAACTACTCACACTCAAATATCATCTCAGGATCTGCTTSTGAACTGAGTCTAACATGTTATCTCAGAGGGAGAGGTGATTGAACTGGTCCTGAGCAGGTACTATCTATGGGCAAAGGTGTTGAATAGCAAGGTATTCTATACAGACTGATATCAGGATGGAGACACAGACGTGGAAAATTGAAAGAGCTTGTCTGGATAGTGGCTGGAACCAAAAGGTTTTGTTTTTCTTTCTTTCTTTTTTTTTTTTTTTAAGAGACTGGTGGGAGGTAAATGTCATGTGGTCAGTCATACCTAGAGGATTCTCACTGTTGGATAAAGGAGTTACAGCATGATGCAAAGAAACAAGACATTAAGTGCATGCATGAAGATAGGCAGAGAGAAGGTTTCTCTTCTTTCCCTTTGCCTCCCTTCATCCTTGCATTGGAATTGGGGATATTTTAGCATCACTGATAAAAGTTGGGGGTAGGAAAATTGATCAGTACTCTTCATAAAATGATTTTCTTTGTCCTATATGGGCTCCCACTTATGGTTATCCCAGGCATGTAAGTGGCAAAGATAGCAGGATGAAGGCAGGCTGGGGGAGGATGGAGAACAAGGGAGAAAATACTTTAGGAGGCCATGGGAGCTAAGTTAGACCCTGATGCCCCAAGGAAAAAGGAGAGAAATGTCTAGATTCTCTTTTTCCTGATAAATATATATARTGCTAACCCCTTTAGCAGACAGACTGAGTCTACATCTCATTTTGGCTATTTATTTTTAATACATATGTAAGTACATATATTTTTTTTGGTGGGGGGACTGGGGATTGAACCCAGAGATACTTCACCACTAACCACATCTCAACCCTTTTTTATTTTTAATTTTGAGACAGGTTTTGGCTAAGTTGCTTAGAGCCTTGCTAAATTGCTGAGACTGGCCTAGAACTTGCATTCCTCCTGCCTCAGCCTCTGGAGTTGCTAGGATTATAGTTGTGTGGCCCCATATTCAGATTCTTCTTTTTTTCTTTTCTTTATTATTATTATTATTTTTTTGGTATCAAGGATTGAACCCAGGGTGCTTAACACTGAGTCTTAACCACTGAGTCACACCCCAGCCCTTTTTTATATTTTATTTAAAGACAGCATTTTGCTGAGTTGCTCAGGGCCTTGCTAAGTTGCTGAGGCTGGCTTTGAATTTGCAATCCTCCAGCCCGAGCCTCCCGAGCTGCTGGGATTACAGGTGAGYRGCACTGCAGCTGGCTCATACACTCGTATTCTTAATGATTGTCTTCCAGAGATAAAATTGGAGAAGTAAAGGGAGGAGGAGATTTTACTGTTTTGTTTTTTTATTGTATTTACTTTTTACTTATCAAGAAGAAAAAATAGTGATAAGATTATAGACGATTACTTTTAATTTTTTGCCATTTTTAAATATACAGATTTATTTTTTGTTGTTTGTTTTTCTCCACTAGAAAATAAGCTCTGTGAGTATAAGGATTTTGTCTTTTTTTTTGTGTGTGTGTGTGTGTGTGTATTATCTCTAATGTTTATAGTGCCAATGMTTATTTTCATTTATTTAATGAAATATTAAGAAATATTCATTAAATAAAAACAAATTACAAATATATGAATCAATATTATTGTCTAGTGTTGTCTAGGATCACATAGCTAGTGAATGGTGGATTTCAATATAACTCTCCTAGTTTCAAAGCTCACTCTGTTTCTTGCCCCTTTCACCTAGAAAAAACATCAGCACATAGTCTATTAAATAAACTTTCTGATAATATTAGAACTCTTTTCTTGCCTTCCTGATGAGTGTTTTTCACAAAAAAAGTATTTTTAGTCTCTAACACTCCATTTTTACTGGCAGATGTGGGTATTTAGGACTGTATCTATCTGTTTGTTTATCTGTCTGTCCAACCAACCATCTTAACCTTAAGTAAATGCACAATAAAAAGGTTACCTTGGGCTGTTAATTTGAAATAATCGATGTGCAATATCTTATATTTCATCTTTAATAGTAAAGGCCAGAAAGAAATCAACAGCAGAAAGATCAATATGCAGGCAGTCATAAGAAAGGGAAGAAAAAGAAAAGCACAATTTTTTAAAACCAAATGTACCAGACACTCAGTTATGACTGAGTCCTTAAGGATGTTTTCATTTCACCCTTACCAATAAGGCTGCTATTATTTTCAATTTACAGAAGAAAAATACTAACTGCAGAAGGTTAAATAACTAGGTAGAGCACCTCTGGCAGCATAATGTTGTCACTGAAATTTTGTTCCACTTTTACTTATTTCTTAAGTTGATTTGTTAGTATCAATAGGATTTATTTTAAGAAATGGGATTYGTAAAAAATAAATGCATAACTATTAAAAATATTCCTTATCCTATATAAAATCATCTCTTTTTATACCAGAATCACTTGCATTACATCTTGGGAAGCATTTTACGTCACAGTATCATTGATCAATGGGCTCAGTGGAGAGTAACCAGAGTGAGGGAGGGAAAGCATCTAATGCCTGTTGAGATGGGTGAGGAAAGAGAGAGAAGATACACATAAGGTAGGTGCCTGGTGCCTGGAAGGCAGGTCAGCATCATTGTGCTCTGAGAGTCACAGTTTGCATCCTTAGCACGATGTAACAATGCACTCTCACTTCCAGAGTCCTCCAATGTCGTAAAAATTGATTAGTCATTATGTTAGGATCATTGATTTCCCAAAATAACAGGAACTTTAATGACCATCCACTTTGAGATTCCAGAGACATTCAACATCTCCTCCTCTCCTCACCCATCTTTGCCTGCTGGATTTACTCTCAGAAAGAAATTTCTTCTCCTGTCTTAGAGGGGAGATTAGATCTTCTTGTTACACACRTCCATGGTACTGATGCCTACTCTTTT